CAACAACATAATCTTCTTCAAAAGTCCTTAAGTTGTCAATATTCAAATTATTACAAAGCACGCTCATCACTATAACATAAATCAAAGCATTTTTAATTTATAGAGTCTATGACATCTATATTATATGCATAGGGCACATCGCTGGAGTGCTTTATGGTATCATAAACATTAAATTTTACCAACTTTTCCATCAAACTTCATGGTCAGTGTACGATCCTATACACCTATTTTTGTCTTGTTCATGTTAAGGAAATGTTTATCTAGCAACGATCAAAATAGTTAATTGATTCATCATCTTCCACGTCTAAAACATCAAAGTCAGTAAGGAAAATAAAATGTCCAACTTAACTAATACATCTTCTAAAACTTTCTTAAGTTAAATAACTGACCTATCAACTAATTGAATAACGACACATGTTTCCTTTAATGGGCCAATATTCAACTTGAAATATGCAGACAGTGGCATTACCTTTATTGAGGCTCCTAAATCACACATAACATTCTTTATACTTAAGGTACCTATTTTATAAGAGATATCAAACATACCTTGATCCTTGCACTTAGAGGTAGTTTTCTTTGAATTATAACCAAGATATTCTCCCCCCACACTCACATTTCTTTTGTTGGTTCACAGTTCCTTTAAAAATTTAGCGTACTGAGGTACCTATTTAATTGCATCAAGTAAAGAGATATTTACCTCGACTTTGCAGAAGGTTTCTAGGATTTCTTTGTCCTCATTCTTTTTTTTTTTATTTAGCAAAGTTTTTTAGAAACGATGGACTGATTGTAAATGGTGCTTGCTGGTCAGAATCTGGTTTTGTTTTATGTGTCTTGTCATCAACTACAGCTACTAGTTCTGCACTTTTCTATAAACCTTGCTCAAGGGTTACCCGATGGGGATTTTTCAGTAGCTATTTGCCACTTCGCAGTGTGACACACTCACATTGGACCTTGGGTTTACCTCTATTTGAGATGATAGTTTACCTTGGGATTTTAGCTTATTGGTGGATGTTGCCAGCTAGCTTAGCTGGGTCTCCAAATTCTAAATGTTCGCTCTTATCTCTTATTGGAACTGTTGTGTGTTAGTAGTAAGAGATTTAACAATTTTTTAAGAGATATACTTTGTTTTGAATGTTCTTATTGTTGTTGTGGAGGAAGTCTTGGTTGGTACTGCTGGGAGTTTTGTTGCCTTGCTTGATAACTAAAATTGAGATGTCCCTCCATCTTGGATTGTAAGTGTTAGAAAAGGGGTTATATATTCTTTGTGGTTTGTTGTGAATCCTCCTATTGTGTTGGTATGTTGTTGGTCATCTTCTTACAGTGTATGACACATATTAGTAAGATGCCTAAAATACGCACAGATTCCACAAACTCTATTATGTTTAGTGTTTCCTGTAACCATGTTTTGTACCAAAGTGGTTAGCTGCAAAATCTGAGATTCAATGGAAGAGATATTTTCCTTATTCCCCCTTCATGGGGTGTCTCGCATGGTCCCGAATTATTGTGAGGTGGCAGCCATGATTACTATCAGGTGTCTCACCTAGCCAAGTGTCTTGTTCACTACAGCATTGTCACTGCCTGCATCCAACATTCTTCTTTTTATGGCCAACAACCCTTCATAGAAGTAGTGTATGATGGATTGTTCTGAGATGTCATGTTGAGGGAAATTTACACACAATCTCTCGAATCTTTTCTAATAATCATAAAGACTTTCTGAGTCTTTTTGCTTGATGCTGCATATTTCCCTTCTTATCCCAATAGCTCTTGAAGCAGGGAAGAATTTGTCCAAGAATAACTTCACCATGTCTGTCTATGTGGTGATTGATCTAAGAAGAAGGTAAAATAGTCAATCTTTGGCTACATCATCCAAAGAGAATGAGAATGCCTGTAATTTAATATTCTTCAAACACTTCTTACGACTTCATGCTTGAGCACACGACATAGAACTCTTTAAAATGCTTGTACGGGTTTTCATTCTCTAAACCATTGAACTTGGGTAGCAAGTGAATTAGACCAGATTTTAGCTTAAATGCCATGTCCATATATGGACAAGTGATGCAAAGAGACAACCGGTTGGTAAGCGGTGCTGCTAGCTCTCTCAATGTGCGTTCCTCGACCATCTGTTCTGATTCTACTTTAGGTTCGATGGCTGTGTTATTTTCTTCAAAAATTGTGTCCTACTGACACGTTTTTCTTTTTAGCTTGATCTGTTTCCTTAAGCTTTTGGTAGTTTTCTCAATTTTTGGATCGTAAGAAGAGGCTCCTCATGATTAAACCTGGTAATAAAAGAGTTAAGTTAGTTTAACTTCATTTCCCCAGCAATGGTACCAAAATTTGATAGGTGTTGAATCCAATAAAGATAAATTCCTATTCTAGCAACAAATTAAGAATTGTAATAGTGATGATAGGATCAAATTCTTAGAGAATTGAGAACCACTATTCTTTTATGGCCACTAATAAAAACAAAAACTAGGGGGTTTTTGTTTTAGAACGATACAATTAATTAAACTAAATCAATAAAGCTTAAAGCAAAAAAGTAAAAAATATTTCAGCAAGTAAATTAAGTAGTAAAGTAGTTATGAGTAAATTCCAGTTAAAGGCATAATATTGGTTCCAATTACAGGATTGATCACTGATGCAGTTATTGTTCTCACCAACTTTCAGTAAACCATTTCTAGTTGTGGATAAGCTACTAACAACTAATCTTTCTTTAATCCTAAATTTAACCAAGAGACGTTCATTGATTAAACCTTGCTAATAGACAACTTCGAAGATGCTCCTGGAGTTTAGTTTACTAACAACATTGAGAGTTAGAAAAATCTAATTTTAACCAACAAACTCAACAGCGTGTTCACTTAGATTAGGTCATATACTTTCTTAATATGAACAATAAATCACCACTAACATCAAGACGACCTTAATAATTACGAATTCAAGATCTCGAATATCAGTATGCTCAATGAGCTGTTAAACAGACAATAAATAATAATGGTAGTATGTGCAAAGATATATGTGAATATTGAAGTTGAACAAGAATAAAAATAAAATAATTAGATCTCACCATTCTAAATTGAAACTTCAACTAAATCTCTAACTAGAAATTATACTTATTTAGTTGCTCATGATGAACTCAATGCACAACATATTATTTTTGTGATTACTTAAGGAATTACAAAAGAGATGATTGAGAATGATGAAGTCTGCTTCTGGTTCTGGTGGTTGCTATACTCCTTTGTTTTTATTTCCTATTTAAAGGCTGAGAGCATATAAGAGTTTTCTCATGAGGAAGTAGGGTTTTCCTTTTTTATTTCGGTCTCTCTTTCTACTTTCTAAAATTGCCTTTACTTGATTTGGTTTCTCGCCTCTAAGTAAAAACGACACATTCTTTTAAAATATGTGGGTATATTGAAACACCAGTATCTGCTATTGCCGCTAGGGTACAAGCCTTACCAAGGGTTATCTATGCACGAACTGATGTTTCCTGCTGCTGTTAAGGTGTTAACCTTGCCTAAGACTCAGTCACGTAATGGTTATTGTCTCTGTACAAAATCAGTAATGTTGCATTACTTTTTTAAATTTAAGTCTTGTCTCTTAACCTGCATCAAAATAAGTAAAATCACCTAAATTATGCAATAAATAACTCAATTATGTATTTAAAACAAGTGATAAAAATTTATTTATGCGCACTATCAAAAATTTTCTCACTTCTTAACCTATAGATGTCCATACCTCTTCAATTTTAGTAATCTATTAATTTATAGTTTATTTTTAACTTTATTCATTTTCTTATATGATCTTGTAGATAGAAGTGGTAAGAATCTTTAAAATGTTCTTTAATTTGAAAAGAAAATAAGTCTTACTCCATTAGCTTGTGTTCATTTCTTCTTATTATATTTATTATTATTATTATTGTCATCATCATATTTTATTTGAGTTCTATAACACTATTATTTTTTATGATATTTTTAAATATATTATTACTAAATACAAATACTTCTCTAAAATTTATTAGTACTGTTTTGTTCATACGTAACCAAATGACATTATAATTAATTTTGATGATAATAAACTTTAATGCATATTATCTTAAAAAGAAATGATATATTATTTAGTTGTCCTTGAACTAATTATAAATTATGATACATATTAGTCTCAAATTTTCTTCTTATTTGACCACTAAATTTATAAAATTTATTTCAAGATGTGATCTTTTTACTAAAATCTTTTACAAAAAAAAATTTCGTCCTTCTATTATTTGAATAATATAAATAACTAGAAAAATAAAATGTCTCTATTTAGGATTAAAAAATGAAAATAAAGTCATTTTTCTTAATGTCTCTTCTTTTTTAATATATGCCTTCTCATCCATATTTTTTAAATAAAATAAACATGTTTGTTTTTAAAAATAAATCTTTCATCATTATAATTTTTTTAATTCATATATTTATTAATTAAACAATATATACATATAAATTATAACGCAATATTAATACATTTTTTAATAAAAATATATAAGAGAACAGTCGAACTTCAAATTCATGATCTCTTGCAAAAAAAGAAATATAATCATTTAGTTAAATAATTGTTAATTTTAGTTGTTATAATTTTCAAATTCAATTAAAAAATAAAATATGAATTAGTAAAAAGAATTTTTATCATTTTTTCTTTCAAATTTGTGTAGTTATATAAAAATATCATGAATTGATTAAATTTTAAAATTTAAATTCATAATTTCTTATAAAAATAGAGACATGCTACCCAGTTCAACTTAATAGTTAATTTTAACTATTGTGATTCCTAAATTCAATTAAAAATAAAATATGAAGAAGCAAAAAGAATTTTTGTTGTTTCTTGTTTAAAATTTTTGTAATTATATAAAAATATTATGACTTGAATTTTATTTATAAATTTAAAAATTAAATTTAAAATTATAAGAATTTTACACAGGCGTAATTTTTTTTTTTGTTTTTTTAAACAAAACCTGAACTGACCAGCTTTATAGTTCAAAAAGGAGGGAAACAGAACGCAAAACCCTAAATAGAGTGGTTAATTTCCTCTGTCTTCTCTGCTCTTGCCCGTTGGTATTCGTCTCCTTCCTCCCAAGTCCCTTCTTGTATCTGTAAAAATATGTGTTCCTAGCTGGTATTGTTTCATTTCTTTTATATCTTTGGGAAGCTTCAGTGCCTTCTATGGCGAGGCTTCTACGAAACGTTTCTTCGTTGAAAGGCTCTTTATTCTCTCCAGGGGTTAGTTACTATCTGAACACGTTTGCTTCTTAGCCTCTATGTTTTCTTTGAGTAAGAACTTATTTGCTTTCGTAATAAAACCGTTGGTTGTGCTTTTTGGCCTACGTTCTGTTTTGTTATAGAGATTACTGGGACATGAAATTATGAACTTCTGGTTAGTAGTAGTTTTTTGTCTGAAATCAACCTTAGCAGGTTGACTACACGGTGATAGTTTTACATATGTTTTCTTGCAGGTCTTGAAGAGAGGTGTTTTGGGGACAACTTCTCAACTTTGCAACTTCTCTTCTAAAGGTGCTAAAATCTTCAATGTCGTCGATTCTTTTTTTTTTTTTTCCAGTAAAATATTTGAACTCATTTAAAATGTTTGGATTATAGTAATTTCAACCGGGTGAATTTGCTGAATAGACCTCAAACCAAAGCTTCAACTATCTTGGAGGGTTTGCAGTTTATGCTGGAATTTAAGAATGAGGTCTCTTTATAGAGAACTATGCTATAATGAAAATTTTAGACGTCTAATGAAGCTTTTGAAACAATTGTAAAACTACTATGGTGGTGGCGTGGTGGTCTGGTAGCTTAAAATCTTTGGTGAAAGTAATATTTTTCCCTTACTTTTTACACCAAGTTCTTGAGCTATGCCACAACATGCCTTGTCTTGGTTTATTTTGGGATTGACAATTTGGTACTTGTAGTTTCTTTTGATTTTAGAGAGTGTTTGGGATTACTGAAAGAAATTTGCTTAAATAGCAAAACACTTTAGGTGACTTAAATTGTTATTTTGAAAGGTAGTTACGCTTTTAGTTAGAAATGAAAAATAAGAACCTGAAGATTAGGATTATAGTTGATGCAGGACAAATTAGAGTTTATTTGTCTACTTAGAAATTTGGGGAGAAAACCTAGGTGTCTCACTAAGGATTCTAGGTATCACACCTAAGAGTTGATTGAATCACACAATCAAATACTAAAAATTCTCAAAATATTATTGTATAGTTGAATACTGTCTCAGTAAGTGAAATTATACAGATATTCATACTGCACCTTAAGTAACATTTACTAAGTAGGAGTAAACTGAGAAATAGTAAACCTAATAAGATTAGGCATGTTACTCCAAATAAGATAGAAACTGATACTAATAATACCAGAAATACTAATCTTAATAATAGAAACTATTAACACAATTAAAAAACTAAATACTAAGAAGAAAAAAAATCCTAAAATTACTAAAAATATAAGAATAAGATCCTAAACAGAATAGTGGTTTAACATTTAAAAGAATTATAACCTCTACTCTATTTAGCTAATCCATAGCTACTCCATTCTGCGATAATGCTTACTTTCTACCTTGTTAAAGTAAGAAGCTAATAAACACAATGCTTTCTGTTTTACCAGAAGTGAATATTAGAGTAAGTGTCGGTAACTGCTTATAAGCACAAAATAAAATAATTTCAAACACCCTCTTAATTGATATGTTACCAGACGTGAATATTAGAGTAAGGGTCGGTAACTGCCTATAAGCACCAAATAAATAATTTCAAAAACCCTCTTAATTGATAATATCCTGGGCTTGTTTCTGTTTGAAGGTAGAAGGAGATCCAAGTCGGACGGAAGTTCATCATGTGAGGAAAACATGTCAAAAAAAGAGCTTGCCCTACAGCAAGCCTTGGATCAGATTACAAGCTCTTTTGGGAAGGGATCGATCATGTGGCTTGGTCGTGCTGTCTCCCCCAAAAATGTACCAGTGATTTCCACAGGCTCATTTTCTTTGGATATAGCATTGGGGACTGGTGGACTTCCAAAGGTATTCTGTCGTTGTCAGTTTATGCAATGCAGGATCTCCAATTTTGGTTTGTGAGAAAGTTCTGTGAGATTTGTAGAAAAAGTTGAATGGTGATTGAGGAAAAGGTTATTGCTTCTTTCTGTCCATGTATTGGCAAATATTGGCCAGTGGTTGTAGCTGATTTAGCTAAAAGGCTTACTAGGATTCTTTTTTGAAATAAAAGAAGATGTATTAATGTGAGATGCTAAGGGAGCACCATCCATATACAAAAATTTACATGTCAGTTAGCATATCTACAATAGAACCAAGATCTTCAAAACATTTAGATTATGCTCCAAAACAGTAGAGTCAAAATAATGAAACCGTTTATCTTTGATGCTATTAAAATCTTGTTCAAGCCCCTCAAAAGCCCTGTTGTTTCTCTCCTTCCAAATAGCTCAGAAAATGGTAAGAGGGATTAATCTAGGATTCTTAATACCATTTGTAGTGCTTTACCTTTGGGTATGTGAGGTTGATGGTGAAAGTTATGCGTGTTTGAAAGTGAAAACTTAGAGGCAGGCAGGATGATTGTTTTCAATGTCTTCTTCCCTCATATAATTTCTTTTGTTGTATTTCACAGGGACGTGTGATAGAGATATATGGCCCAGAAGCTTCTGGAAAGACGACGCTTGCTCTACATGTAATTGCTGAAGCACAAAAGCAAGGAGGTTAAGTACCATATATTTTCTTAAGTTTATTATTTTTTTTTGGAAACAGTAATCATATTTTGTCAAATTAGTATTTTTGATAGATACTGCATTATAACCATTGTGAAAAAGTATAGAAAATATGAAATTTGGCTTTTTGCTAACTTCTAGTGAGATGAATGAGAATTTGTCAACGGTTAGATCATCTTGCTAAGTGGAAAGTTTGCTGGGGCATTCATTTGTCAGCTCTGTGATGGAAGGTCTCACTCATGCAAACTGTTCAAATTTCTTCAATGTAGACAGGCATTCCATCATATTCCGAGTTTTCTGATTCTTGATCTTCTAAATGTACCATTGTGGCCTATACGAAAGAAAATCAGAGAAAATATTACATGGAAGTTAGCTTTGCCTGAAGTACCTTTAAATTTTTCACATTGCAGAGACCAGGCTTGGAATGTGAGCTTAAATATCTTGCTGATTGGATTATACATGTTTTTCACTTAGATTCAGGGGAAATTTTTATTTTGATAGGTGGATGCTGCATTTAGTTATCACTTACTTTGGATGAGGTCTGGTTACCTGTGAATAGAACTGATACTGTGTAAGAAGTTTAGCATGGATATTAGGAACCTTGTTATCATGATTCATTGTCAAGCAAGGGTGAACATAAAAAACGGTGCGGAAATCTCATGAAGTAGGTTATGGTTGAGTATATGGAGTGAGAGAGAAACTTTCATTTATGTGTATGTTTTATTCAGAGTGGGAGGAGTCCACAGCATAGTATTTTGGTGGGATTGTAGTCTCCCATATTAGGAAAATGTTTCGATTTAGTACTTAATACGTTAACAATAATGTAAGTGTCATCATCTGTTGGAACTGAGAACTTGGAGTTGTACCTCACTCGAACTTTTCTACAGAGTTCTTTGGGTCCAATAAGTGTTATTATTTTTGTTACTGTTATGTGTTATAATAGAGTTCACCTAATTCAAGGAAAAGTACAATTTTGTTCTTTCTTTCTTGAGAAGAGACAAGTACAATCTTATTTGTGGACCTAAGCAATAGGATTTGTCTGAACTGCTGAAGCTTTAAAGAACAAGAACTTTCACAGTGTTACCAAGTGTTTTGTGTATTAAAGGATTCATGGACTGTTGATTACCTACTTCCCTTCTGTAAGTCTGCCTGTGATAAATGGTTGTATATCTTTAGGTTGTCTGGTCTGTCTTATGTTGTGAATCACAGTTGGTAGCACAAGGGATCAGGTTAGATGTCTGGAGAATGATTTTATTTTGATTTTGCTGCTAAGGACAGAAGTAACATAATTATGTTTTCCAGGGAGGGGAATGAAATAGCATTTATAACATTTTGAGATGCGTTTATCACATCTTGAGATGAATCTCTTGAAATCTTTTCTCAATGCCATGTTTGAGCTCTTAAGACAAGTTTTTCTTCGGGAGTTCGTTAATGCACAATTTTATAGTTATTAATTAATGGGGCATGTCAGTTTTTCATTCTGCATATGCATTGGCAGCGCAGTCCACCTTGGTGTCTTCTTAAGGGAACTTTTTATATATTAGAAATGTGGAAAAGAAGAGGGAAAACAGAAAACAAAATCCTAAATAAATTTTCATTCATGGTGTCTTTGCAGGCTACTGTGTTTTTGTAGATGCTGAGCATGCTCTTGATTCAGCGCTTGCTGAGGCTGTTGGGGTAAACACTGAGAATTTGCTTATTTCGCAACCAGATTGTGGTGAACAGGCTCTCAGTCTTGTTGATACCATTATTCGCAGTGGTTCTGTTGATGTTGTAGTTGTTGACAGTGTAAGTAAGGTGCTTTATTGTTTCATAATTCTTTTCTGTGGTGAAGGGTAGCTTCTTAATGATGGCTTTAGATGTTAAACCTTCAGTGAAGTTGGTCTCCTTTGTCTCATTTATTTGGTTGTCTTAATGTCCATATCATCTAACTTTAGTCATTTTGTTGAGGAAGTCCATTACCTTAAGAAATGCTCCAATTCCTTCCTACTTTAAAATGTTCTGTTATGCTGAAGGTATCTGTATATTTAATTCCAGGTAGCTGCCCTTGTGCCTAAAGGTGAACTTGATGGTGAGATGGGTGATGCCCACATGGCGATGCAAGCTAGATTGATGAGCCAGGCACTCCGCAAATTGAGCCATTCACTGTCGTTATCACAGACTATATTGATCTTTATAAACCAGGTATTGACTTTTAGTTCCTTGTTGTATTGCTGATAAGTTTTAGGATTCATTTTTGGCTGCTAGTTGATAAGTTTGCAGATCGTCATCTCCTCAATTGCATGCCAGTTGCCCTAAAATACTGGCCCTTTACTTTTCTTATTAGTCAATTTTGAATATGATTAGTGAGGATTATTTTAAAAAAAAAGGTTAGAGAGGATACCATTTTCTTCAACAAAGTTGTGCTAATTATCTTCAATTATAACGCGTGAAGTGCTGTGGTTCATGGCTGCCATCTTGACACATGTTGTGGTCGACATTCTTTGAGATTGGGCTGAATGAAGCTGAGCTCAGTAAGGCCTGAGCTTGTTTTGCATGCATTTGTTTCCCCACCCAACAGACTAGGTGCTTATTTAATAAAATGACACATAACTCTCTTGACTCTTTAGGACGTAATTTAGGGGAACAAAAAAGAATCACTATTATATCTTAGAATTAAGCTTCCTAAAAAAATCAAGGGGCTGTTTATTTTAAAAAACTTTTTCTATAGATATTTTTTAGTGTAAAAAATAGTTTTTGTAGATATTATCCAAATCTGGAAGAAAATTCTCTCTTTTTTTCCCTTTTCTCGTCAAACAAAACACATTTTAATTTGTTTCCAGAAGGTATAATTTTTTTTTGAAATAAAAGAGATATTATTATGCACAACGGTACCAAAGGGGTACCACCCCAAAACAGAAGGTATAAAATTTTAATTGTAAAAAAGTAAATTTCATGTCAGTTATCTCTGGTCTCTATAATCTAGATTTGGGTCTGATCCACTTACCCTAGTTGCTCTAAACCACTTTCTAAAATGAAATTCATCCCACCTACTTACCTGCCTAACTGCTGAAAGCGGGAGCTGGAAGCTCTAAGCTACTACAAAACTAGTCGCGGCTGTGCCCGTCCCTCCTCCCATAGAGATTCTTTCTGCAGTTTTCCAGAGCCAGTACCAACTAGCTGAAAGCCTTCTCAAAGCCATTTTAAAGGCTTCATGAAAAGGACTGAATTCTAGCTAAGAAAGTTGAAGTCAGGATCTACTCAACCTTATAGCTCGTAGTCTATAATATAATCTGCTGCTCACATATTTTTTCTTCTCCAGATTGAGTGAGCATTGATCATTATTCCTCAAGTTCATTTTGGGAGCTAATTTAGCTTGTTTTGTTAATATTGCCTTGATATGGTTCTGGGTTTGGAATTGGGTTGTGTTGATTAAGGCCGAGACCTTGAAGCAAGCAGTTGCTTGTTTCCCAGATTTGTTCTCTTTTTGATTGATATTGAATTATGTTAAGGGTTTGTTGGAGGGAACCTTTTATTATTTATATGAATCATCGTTAAGGGTTTGTTGGAGAGAACCCTACTGATGTAGGGAGAAAAGGGAGAAATTAGGCATCATCTGCCTACTTAAAGATTTGTGTTAAATTTAGGTAATCTTATATATGACACCTAAAAATTTGATGCCAAACAGTAAAATAACTAGAATCACATGTATGATCCCTTAAGCGTCAAAACTAAGGTAAGAGTTTCTTAAGCATAACCAAGGCATTGAGGAAAACCCTCATGACAATTTTATTAACTCGTGGATTGATTTCAGAGGTGAGAATATAGGCGTTTATAATGGTGAATTTAACAATAGTTAGAGAATCCCAATGGAAACTTAATCCTCTAGTTGAATTTAAACTACAAAATTCTAGAGTTACCAAAGATGTAATCTTATCTATACAATCATATAAATTCCATTCATAATGGGGTTTCTCTCTCTCTCTCTCTCTCCCATCCGTCCCTCTTTACACTAAACTCAAAACAAAACCAGATCTAAACTTTCTTCACAAATCCATCTCTCTATATCAAAACCCTTATCAATCCCGTAGATAAGGAAGCCTTGAAGCGGTGGTCGGCCTTCTAAACCCTATGGGCATGTCAAATAGTCCGAATAAGAAGTTCATACTCATCGATAGCAAATCTTTTGACATCGCATGGGCAGGAAAGAAAATGGACAAACTAAGAATTAGCGAAAACGGGCATGGATTCAGGATCTCAATTCATCTGAATGCAGAGGAAGTTCGTTGGCTTGTCGAAATCTTGAAAGACTACTGGAATAAGGGGGCCAAACTTGGGGCAAAAATCTCAACGGTAGTAACCATTCTCTCAGTTTGGCGCTTGGATGGAACAAGAGGGGTCGCTTCCTCGTTTTATCCAAGATATGGGGCGAGAAACACAGGAGAATATTTATCCCGGAAGGAATTGAAGCAGGAGGGCGGTGGCGCATCAAGAAATCGGTCTTTGAACTTGCTGAAGTCCAAATTGTAAACCCTTTCTCCGAACAGGCCAAACAAATGCAGACTCTGCCTCCTGTTTTTTGTGATATCATGCTAGACAGGATCCCCCATCCTGTCTCAAGCGATCATTCATAGGACCCTTTCTCAGTTAAGTGCCCACATCGCCATATGGAGCTTCATCTCGAGTTGAAACAACGAAAAACCTTCATTGATATAGTGATATCGGGTCCTAAAGTTACGACCGGGCGAAGAAGATGTACCTAACCCACCCCAATGTTAGAATTCGTTTAAATATCAAACGAGGTTCAATAATCGAAGAACTCTAACACACACAAAGAACCGTTTCCAAATTTTGGCTTAAATCGAGTCTGTTGAGAATCCGTCTAGACCTGAATTTATGGTGAATAACTCTATTGAGTCAAAGCCCAGATCCTCAAGGGTGGAAAAGGGTAGTGAACAAATTATAATGGGCCTAGCAAGAACGCAAAGAAATTCAGAAAGCCCGGCTTAAAATTCCCAAAGTTCAAACGGGTTTGGAGGCCCAAGCACTCGACTCGCATCAAGCCCCTCTCTAACGGGTAAAATTCCAATCACTATTTTTTGTTTGGGGAGCATTGACAGGGAAAAAGGAACACACTTTGAACATACCATTCCCAAAAAATCCCTAAATGTTTCGTCGTCGAGTCTTGCTAGTACCACTGTTATACCCAATGAGACTGAGGATGATTGCGACAAAAAGATATCACCAGGTGATTTTTCTCCAATCTCCTCATCTCCTTCGTTGTCTGGCCTTGAAATGGTTCTTCTTCCTAAACCAGTGCCCTATAACCTTCTATCTTGGCTGTTGAACCATGCATGGAAATGATGGAGCCGACTGAAAGCTGTGACCCCTACGACGAGAAATTTTATTCGACATGAGTTGAAGAAATATTCTCAGAGTTAGCAAACTCTTGGGGGTCACTTTTGAAGGCTGCGAAGAGCAAGCGATGACATTATTTGCCGTGTTGGAAACAAAAACCCTTGAAAAAAAAGGCGAGGAGACAATTAGCAGGAGAAAGAAAAAACCGATTGAGGGAAGATCCCGCGAATTGAAAAGACTGCATTTTCTATCAATTATGAAGGGAGAAACAAAATAGCATCCAACAATGGGACAAAGACCAAGGAAAATCGATGATTAACAAAATTATATCTTGGAATGTTTGAGGTTTAAATGATTCAAAGAAGAGAAATGTCATCAAGGGGTGCATGAATCGATGGAAACCGGATTTGATTTGTCTACAAGAAACCAAAATGGCAGTCATTGACAAGATTACGGTCAATAGTGTGTGGGGCTTACGAGATATCGATTGGCTCTATCTTCCGGCGGATAATACTGCTGGAGGTATCCTCATTTGTTGGAGATCATATATAGTAGCATGTACTGACTACATAAAAGGTGAAATATCTATCTCTCGCTTATTTGTCAACAAGAAAAGCAAAGAAAAATAGTCATTCTCTGGAATCTACTGCCGGGGGAATGCATCGGACAAAGTAAAATTATGGAATGAGCTGCTCCAGTGTCAACTCAGATGAGGGGTAAATAGGGTGGTGGGTGGTGATTTCAACATGGTCATGCACTGGAACGAACGATCAGGGAAAAATTTCTCTGTTTCTGTGGTCCAAAATTTCGAAGATAATATCGACAGTCTTGGGATAGAAGACTGTCCTATCAAAAGTGGAAAATGGACATGGGGCAACTAGAGAGACAAACTTTCTTTCTCCAAAATCGCCAGATTCTTGATCTCCACTGATTTTCTCTGTCTATTCCAGGCCTCAATCGAAAGGTACTTTCTTGTCCAATTTCTGATCATTTTCCTATATGTCTAACTTCTGATGAGATCAAATGGGGAGCCACCCCATTTTGTTTTGACAATAAATGGCTACTAATGAACAACTTTAAGTCCATGGTTAGTATGACATAGAACCATCAGTTTGTAAGAGGCATGACAAGTTTCAAACTATCTAAAAATTTGATCAGACTCAAACAAAATATAAAATCTTGGACCAAGGAAGTCGGTTTGAAA